GTCCCTCTCTTTCCCCTCAGAACTGGAGGCCAGATCTGCCAGATAGTACTATGCTAACTAGAAAGAGTTCATCCTTGGTCCTTACTGTCCTGGGTCGTCCTCACTCCTCTGCCCTGCCCGTGAGGCGTGATATCCCTTTTCTCTTTTTATTTGTCCCCCTTACTTTAGAGCCTCCCTAAAACCCTGATCCTGAATCCTTAACCTGTGAACCCATACTCCGACCTCCCTGACCTGTGTCTACCCCATTCCTCTGGCTCGCCCGTAATGCGTGATGTCTTCTGACCCATTTTATCCGTCCTCCCTGTTTTATATCATCGTTAAAACCCTAAAACCTTGAACCCTCGTCCTGTATATTCGTATTCTGACATCCCCTTGGGTTCACTTTTTCCCTTTGTACTGGATCCTTAGGTGCCATCCATCTGTCTCCGTGCTGCCTGTCCGCGGCTGTAGGTCGCCCTCTGTTGCCTGTTGTTGGCACGCTCTACATGAGTTTGACGTGTGCCAGCCTTTCCAATGATTACAGTCAGCTCTTGTTCCGGAGGTGAAGAATCCAAGCACCGTTAACCCTTGTTGGTAGCTCCTCTGTGGCCCGAGATGAGCCGCTCTTCCCAGCCGAAGTGATCCCCTCGTGTCTCTGCCGTCTTGCTGTTTAGCGAATCAAACCTGTAATCCCTCGGACTCCCTTACTCTCCCTGTTCCTCGTTTCTTGTCCGAGCTTGCTGGATCCTTCATCGTCCATAGGGGATCTTGATTTGTATCTACTTCCTGGTTCCCACCCCCACTTACTCCGGTGAGCTGTACCGTTCCTTGATGTTCAGCTGCAGCGCTTTTATCATATGACCCGTAACTTCGCCTTCCTGCTGAGTCCAAAGAGCATGAGTTTTCCGCCTTTCGAGCCTGATCTGGGATGTTAGTCAATATGAGAGTTTGGAAGGGTACTCGGGGAAGGGGGTTGAGACGAGAGAATCACAGTGCTCTTCTGTTTTCCAGTCTTTGCATTCATATAAGGTACGTTCTTTGCATTCCACATGAGTTCATTATGTTCAACCTGAATTAATCGACAAGCAACATGTGATTCTATCTTTGGAAGCTGACTCGTAGAACAATCACATGTTGTTAGTGTTTCCATTACCTGCCTGTGATTATGTAAGATCTCACCGATTGTCTTTGCTTTTTTGAACATTACCCTGCAAGGAAGATGAGCAATAGCGAACTTCAGCAATCAAACAGCATCATATATACGAGTCCAGATAGTCGTGACCTCGAACCAACAGCAGAATTGCATCACGAGATCCACCAAATAAGAACACACCAAGAGTTCATAATTGACAATGCTGAAATAGTCCCATCATCATCAATGAAGAACCAGAGTTGATATCCTATCTGGCGCTCGGCGCCCAGACTACATGTGGCAGATCCTATCTAGCCTATACTACGATGCCGAAAGATGACGTCAACAGCATTCCCGAAGTACGAGCATATGGCGACCAATGTCGCACGCTTCCAGCACCAGGTATGTCTCGCGCTACACTCACAACCTCGTTCCCCAACTCACAGATGCCACTAGCACCCAAGGACCACCCTGCGCCTCACCCAGCTTACAGCAGCGCAGCTCGGCTATGGCTGCGTGCTCCTTCCCTGCTCGCCCGTGAGAGCGTAGGCGCCAGCCAGCAAATAGCGCAGCAGCAGCGCTTGCGCAGCATGCAGCCAGCACCCGAATGCCGATTGAGGAGGCAGACCCTTTGCTATATCGAAGTGGCCTGCCTGCGTCCAGTCCCAGGAAGCTTCCAGTAGGCCCCGGTAGCCTGAGGCCCAGCACGACGAGAACAGGCCTTGGGCCTGAGGTGGTTGCATGTGCCCAACTGCCTTTGGCCTGTGTTTGGCCCGGTACCCGTATCCAGCCCAGGGCCTGCTTCACATACATTCACACAGGCGGCCCAGGGCCTGGGTTCACTCAACCAACTGGCGCTGCGCAACTGCCTGAATTTGAGTGTGAACGATATACAGAAAACCAAGTTGCGAAATCACACAGCTGGCCAAGCAGTCGTGTCAAAGCAGAGAGTACAAAATGCACCGAGAAACCATCCATACAGAGCAATACAATGAAGTAATGAGCCAATGTTCAAGCCCGTGGGCCACACCAACACAGTATCGAGAGTCGCTCTTCTCTGTCCGGCGCCCAGCGCCCAACCTACTCTACCCGACTATCCTACCTACAGCTGGTTCAAGCAACAGGCTAACTTCGACTCTCGAAGACCAATGTACATGACTGTCAACACCATAGCCGACCTCTTTTCATGCACCAGGTACGTATCTCGTCACCCTCAGTCAGACCTTGATTACCCCACACTCGCCTCCTTCCCTGAAGACCACCAGATCGCCCGCTGTACCCCCCTGGCGCCCAGCAGCCCGGCTATGGCTGCCTGCGCCCCGCTGCTCTGCAGTGCCCCAATTCACCTCTATGCGCCCCGTCAGCGCCCTTGGCCGCAGAGCAGCATCAAGCGATAGCGCAGCAGCACTTCCGCATTGCCTGCACTGGCCAGAATGGCTGGCCCGGGCTGCCTCACTCCTTTTGTGGGAGTGGCAGCCTCCTGGATGCTGCGTGTGGCCTGGCTGGAAGCTTCCAGTAGCTTCCGGTTGGGCCTCAGACCCTGCGCCCAGGCCCGAGACTACAGTTGAGGGCCTGGGCCCTTTTCAGTTGGGCACAGCCTGAGTCTCCGGACTTGGGCTGTTTGCTGCATCTGTGCAGGGCTCCCAGGTAGGTGCGTCAGCAGTACTGCTTTTCCAAAGGCCGATGGCCTGCTTCCCAATGTATTGGCCCTGCTTTGTGTGTATGTGCCCAGGCGCAACTGTCAAGGCCTGGGCCAACTGTACGACGCAGCTTAGTATGGCTCACGTGTCTACCCAACGAACTGGCGTGCTGCGAGAGCCTGAACAAAATTTGGCCTTTGGCGAATATTCAGGCCCACCTTCACTTAGGGCGGGCACTCGGCTTGCTGGGGCCTTAGCCCAGAACATGTGATGTCTGTTAGGGCCCCTTGAGGGCTCGTTCCTCACAGATACAACAGGTTAGCAATAATGCAGACAAAGGTGCCGAATGAGCCTATCTCACGTGTGAATAGACAAAATCAGAGAGAAAATCCCCGGATAACAATCTCCATATCGAACCAAGGGGAACATGAAATACGCGGGCAATGCAAGGATAGCATAATAAGCTGAATCTCCAACGCGAAAGATACATACGCCAAACCAAAAAATTGGTCCTGAATATCAATTCACCGAAGTAGCAGAACCTGCTGCAATATCGCCATAGTCCATGCCCACTGTTAGTAAGACAGTGAAAAAATGGTAGCAACATGAAAGGGCTGTACCTGAAGTCTGTGCCGATCTTCACGGGTGCTTCCCGCAAGTTCAAAGCACCATGCCTTGAGATACACACTTGCAATATTGGACAACACGTGCGAGGCTTTACTTTCACAGAATACACGTCCTGTCCATGGCATGCGACAAACAGTCGCGACTACCCTTCTACCTCTCTGCTCAGGTCATCCTTTCAGCCATTATCATCAGTATATATACCCTTTGGTCCAAGTACTTCCCGTCCATCTGAACCCTAGTCCCTGCAGTCTCCTATCATCATCGTGTCATCGACGTGCTTGAAGAATTCCACCGTCCAGATGTTCACTTGGTCGCAATATGTCGAAATATCCTTTCTCCGAAGGACTTTGAAGAATTATCCCGTTTCCCTTCGAAGAATTTGTGATGCTGTTGCTTGATTTTCTTTTGGTCCTGATGTTGTCGTGGTCGCATTTATGTAGAAATATTAGTCCTCACTGAAATCTTGTCTGTATCTTCATATCCTGTGAAGTGTTCCGGTTCTTGAGTCTCGGCACTCGATGCGTTCATTCCCAATATTTATTTTATTTTACTTTACTTTATTTTATTTTATTTTATTTTATTTTATTTTATTTTATTTTATTTTATTTTATTTTATTTTATTTTATTTTGTTTTATGTTATTTTATTTATTATTTTTTGTTTTGTTTATTTATTTTCTTTCTTTCTGAAATTCGGACTTAATGCTTTTTTGTAGTGCTCACGCGAGTCTCCGGGTGTTGTATCGATGTAACTAATGAAATCCGAGATCGTTCCTGTTCTCCTTCGTTGGTACGTTTTCGGTAGGTCCCATATTTCCTTTTCAATTTGGCTGTTCGAGGGCTCCTTCATTTCAACCTTAGATTTGTAGCTTCGGAATTCAGAATTTGCGTTCAGCCTCCGTTTGTATGTTCGTTATATTCCCTTTGTCCGGAATTCTGAAATGAATTTATATTTCGACATGTTTCGCACAACTCTTCTGATCTTGCATTTCGTATGCGGATAATTGGCTTTGTCTTCTGTGTGTGGTGTGGTAGTCCGGGAGCATCGTGTTTATCTTACCGCGGACATCTGTTCCTGTTTTTTTGTTCTGTTATCCAATTTCTTGTGTCGTACGTTTCCAGAAAGTTCAAGAAAATATTTCGCATTTTTTTGTCCGTGCAGTTTCTGATGATTGCCAGTCGTGTGGTCTTCCGTGGGTATTCCAACAATTTGAGCTCCGTGCAATATAATTCCAGCACAGTGGGCAAATTGTTTGCGTCACATGTATTCGTTACCATTCTGTGGAAACTTGGAAAGTGCCGATTATCGTCAATACCTTCGTGTTCACGGAACCGACGCTCCTGAAATGACGGATAGACCGAATAGAGATAGACCGAAGAGAGAGAGAGAGAGAGAGAGAGAGAGAGAGAGAGAGAGAGAGAGAGAGAGAGAGAGAGAGAGAGAGAGAGAGAGAGAGAGA